CTCTCTCTCTCTCTCTCGTGGACGTAGCTGGCAGCGAAATCGTTAAAACACTCCATTTTCTGACTTCAACATCCGCTTTACTTTTGATTTTTGGACCACCACCAGTACTATATACTAACCTCTTTTTCTCTTTCATATTGTCTTTTCACACACTATCTCTCTCTCTCAAAGGTCACTTTCCCACTGTGTTATTGAGTCACACTTCACAGACGTCGCCGTGGTGGCGTTAATGGCGGTCAGCTCTTCATCATTACTCAGTTAGAGAAAAAAAAAACAAAGAAGAAGAACAACTCGCACGCCATTTCACGTGATTCAAATGCCTTCATCAATTACTCATTTTCAGTATGTATATATTCACAGCTTTCTTTTGTATCCATTTATTACAGCATAGTTAAACTTCCTCGTATATATATATGTACCCATTAGTTTGTTTATTTATCTGCTTACAAGTTCTTGGCATTTACCTGAAAAAGTAACTAAAATTCCCGAAAAAAAAAACAAAAAAAAAAATGAGTCAATTAGGTGAAATGTTGAGTTTGAGTTTGCAGGCGAGAATAGAATTGGACGGTGGAGCAAGAACCATCGTGGAGCTCTTGAGATCTGCAGAGAGGATGGACGGCGCCGATGGAGCGGCGGCGAGGAGGCCCTCCTTCAAGGAACGCCTCGGATTGAAGGCCCTGGCCTGCTGCGGCGCCACTTGGGCCTTCGGACTGGGCCTGGGACCCACCTCCGTTACCGGCGACGTTGAGGAACAAGAAACCGGAGGCCCACTGGTCGAGCCCATCCCCTCGGCCCGGGACCCCGCCGACGACGGGCCGGCGCCGCCGTGCGGAGCCCGGCCGCAGGCGGCCCCGGGGATGAACCTGGCGGCGGCGCTGGCCGCCGAGCGGCAGCTGAGGGCAGCGGAGGAGCCCGCCGTGGAGCCGACGGATCCCAATTGCCGGAGCGGGGAGGCGGCGGAGAGAGTGTCGCTGATGAGGCTGCTGGAGCAGTCGTCGGAGGGGAGAGGAGAGGAGGAGGAGGAGGAGGAGGGGTTTGGCTGGGTGTGCTGCGTGTGCATGGGAAGGAAGAAGGGGGCGGCGTTCATACCGTGTGGGCACGCCTTCTGTCGGGTGTGTTCGAGAGAGCTGTGGCTGAGCCGAGGCGCCTGTCCCCTCTGCAACCGTCCCATCCTCGACATTCTCGACCTTTACTGATACTGATGAATAGTGGTGGGGGTATATTTGTAATTCGACCCATTCGTGATCATTTGGGTTTGTGCAAGTGCAACAACAAAATTGCAGTTCACAGAAATTTGCTTCATATTTTTTTTTTTTTTTCATTTTCCAAAGACATTTTTTCTCGAAATGAGCTGGCGCGTTGACGGGATGACCTTTGAAAAAAAAAGGTAAAAAATTCAATTTGATTAAAGGGAGATGCTACCGTCTTGTTACGGAACAATTTAATCGAGGTTTGAAACCGTTAGATTAACTATATCGGACAGTTACATGATGATCTAACGATTATAAACTCCGACGAAATAGTTCCGTAATAGAATCGTAGCATTTCTCTCATTTAAGATGTATATTTCTTATGGAAAAAAAAAAGAAAAAAAAAACATGTATAGGTGGAATGATGTATAAAAAAAAAAGTCAAAGTTTCATATCGACTTTTTAATCGATATTTAATTGATATTAATGAGTTAAATTTAAATCAAAATATATAAAGTTGCATAAATATTTTATGCTTTCAAGTCTTAATAAATCTAAGTTTAATTGCGCTCGTCGACTAAACGAGCTTCAACTTTCCATTTCTACGCTAAATTTTCTAATGGCTCATTTTGATCAGTAATTCTACGCAAAAGTGTCAATTCTTCATTACGTTAAATTTCGTGTATTTTACATATTATTATTTCATTCACTAATTATAATAAATTTAAAATATACACTATTTATTTATTTCATACTTTTAACTCCACTATACTCTTATTTTTTTTAATATAATTTCTAAACTAAAAATTAATTGTTAGTACTATTCTATAAAATTTAATGTTAATTCATTCACATATTAATAAGTAACAATCAACAAATACAATACTCGTGTATGACATGGGTGTTCGTCAAAAAATTTATATATAAAATTAAAAAATAATCAAAAAAATATTTTAATTTTGATTTTTTTTTATTAACTATATTACTATTTTATTGAAAATAACACTCATCACTCATACGGCTTATTATCTTATATTATAATAATTTTATAAATTATATCATTTAACACCGTTGTAGTTAAATTTATTTAAATAGTTTTAGCTTTTTAATTATAAAAATGTGACCGTTCCTAGAGTATACTTAAATTAATATTATCTTATATTATTTTTAGATTCATATTTATGTAAAATAAAAATGTGTTTATAATCTCTTTTTATTAAGTCCAAAATAACATCAAATTTCTAAAGACATGATTGGATATAAGCTATTCTGAATTAATTGGATTTATTAGATAAAGTGAATTAATTATAAAAATAATTAATCAGAATGATTCGAAGAGATATCTGCGAATGTCTCTTCTTTTTGAACGATACCAGAATGATTGTTTCAGAGATATGACAATGAGACTTCAGAAAGTCGTCTGATGCCGAGTCCATTTTCGCGAAGCGGGAGACTTCGCTTCGTTCGTTGGGATGAGGAACCGAACTTCATCTTCCCTTTTCGTTAGATAAATCGTATCTAATTATCTATCAATTAATAATGGCAATGTAACTACATGTAGAAAAGCCAAAGTGAAGAAATGAAAAATTTGCAGGGTATAAAAATTTCACCTAAAGTGCTGGTAGGTTGTCCCCAATAATAAAGGTAATGCTATATTTGAACAAGATTTGTGATTGTACATATTTAATATTTAATAAGTCTCACTAGAGATTGATAAAAGAAAGAAAATGTTGCAGTTAAAGCTGACGGTTGAGCATTGGATACCCACTAGAAAAGAAAGATAGAGAGCAAGGTACAACACAACACAACACAACACCTCCATTATAGGCTTTTCATTCAATTTGTTACCTTCATTTGCATATTGAAGGAATTTATCAAATTTGTTGTAATTCAACATTTATTTGAAAATGTAAAATCATGATTAGGTGGTCTTTGATCCACTATTCAAACAAGTGAGCCCCAAATTAAGAATTATGTAAACCTTTCGTCTCCGGGCATGGGAGCATGGATCCAGCATGATCTTGCGGGGGTTTCTTACTCTCGTCGTGTTCTAGCTTAAAATTTCTCCAAGACTCTGACCTTCTTCCATTGTACCGAAAAAAAAAATAAAAAAAATATGTAAACCTAGATATTTATGAGGCCATTTCTTTCCCACTCCAATAACTCATACCATTCACCACAAAAATAAAATAAAATCATATTGTAATAGAGGTGTTCATGGCCCGGCGAATCGTCAGGCCG